AAGGAAAATTAATAAATGTATCTTATTAAGCGGAAAAAAATCTACAATTTTTCCTCTTTGCATATTTCTAATACTAACGATTCTACAACATTTAAAAGAAAAATCACTAAATCGCCCATATCTAGTAAACTGGATTTTTTTCAAAAAACAAAAGCATATCTTGAATAAGCTCTTAAAACGACAACTCTTTCCTCATTTAACCGAATCTCTATCTCTTACGGTTTCCAAGACCCCTATGCTTAAAATGAAAAAAAAACTCACCCTGTATATACATAAGAATCTCGCATCTACTTAAACTCGTTTCTGGTACTCTCAGATATTTCCTGCCATTCTCAAATATCGTCAATATTTAAAAATACTAAAAAACTAATATAACTACAGAGTGCTACGAAATAATGAAAAGGTGTACATAAGAATACAGCACCTACTAACCACCCTCATACCAAGAAACCACTAGTTTTAAATACACCAATCCTGTGGTACGAGCTCTGCCATCGTTGACTTTTAAATTAGACTCAAAAATTACTTCTTTGATAGCAGTAACAACTACGAGAACCCTATAAAAGTGTCGACAATGAGATATAATGACCAATGGTATATGTACCTACAGTGTGTTCATAATGAGTAGTAGCTTGACAATAGCGCCACTATTTAAAACGCAAATTGTTTGTTAAATAGTTGCAAATTTTGGGCTGTATAAAGGACATAAAGTGTCGATTATGACATGAACGCCACTATTCTTTCAAGATAGTAACCTGAGTTATCTCCAATATCTTTATTTGGGCATTTTACAAATCAAAGTAAAGAAACAAATAACAAAGTGAGAAAAAATGGCAACACAAATAATTAATAATTTATACCATAGGTATATAAAAAATAGATAAACTCGGTGCAATAGGAACTGGCGGTTGACTCTCATACCTAGGTTATCTCTCTTTAATACCGGAAAGTTGGAAATGAGAGAAAATTGATGCCCTTAAGACAGGGGTCGGCAACCTGCGGCTGGCTCTTTTAATGTAAAGTTGCGGCTCTCTGCATTTATTTAAAAAAATTAGTTCATTTTTTCGAAATTCATGTTAATGGATCTTATTTTATTACGAAATTGAAAGTACACTTGCAGCTCATAATTACCTAATTTGTGACACTTGTTTGTCTTATTTTATTATCACAGCCTACTCCGATGTATAAACATGTAATTAATTAATAAGAAAAAAACTCGAATAACCTAAAAATTATTAACTTTAAGCACAGGACACCTCGTATAAAAATTGAAGAGGACACAAAACACAATCGAATAGCGAAATAAAATAGTGGTAGTTGAAAATTTGAAAAATAATAGTTATGGTACTTTGAACAAATTGTATTGAAACAAGTACAAATATTCAGGATGTTCTATTTAAAAAAAAAGCATTTATTGACACCGTAAAAATGGGACACCCTGTACATTCAAAAATAATTTCTGTAGATCCGTAACCATCTATAGTTGACATTTGCACACAAGATTTTTTTACCAGGTATAAGCTAGGAAAGACGGACGCACTGTTGCAGGACCCTGTATATGACCAAATATTATAGTATTGATTCGAACATTTTTAGTGGCTCTTTAAAAACTGGGAAATTTTGCAAATTGTAACTTTTGGCTCTTCCGGTTGCCGACCCCTGCCTTAAGATATGTCAAGTCGCACGTCGGATGTTTGGCGTTTGTCACATGTCACTCATAAACCTAACCCAAAAATCAATGAAGTTTGACACTTCAACCCAATTAAATCCCATCTTTGTTTTTGTTATAAAAATAGACAGAGTAAACCGACGTCGGACATTTAAACTGAATGCGCACCAGACAAGTCAAATAGCAAAGTTAATATGTGACATACCTAAATTCTAACGAAACCTAAAAAAAAAATATGACGTAACCGCCAGTTCCTACCATATAAACTATACTCAAAGGAAGAAGTTGACGAAAAAAACCCTAGACTTTTGCCGTGCTTTTAACTTAAACCAGCAAATGACTTATTAACACGAATATAGAAGATGGTCAAGAGTTCAAGAATGCAAAATGGACACACTTCAATAACCCCAACCTGTGTAATAACAAATAGAAAAAAGCACAAACCTAGGCAGAGTAAATGATCTGATGGGGTAAGTCAGATTTCTATTCAGTCTAGATTTTGAAAGTATTTCTGCGTGGAAGTGTAATAACATGCATAGTTTAATCATGAATAAGCCGAATGTATGCAAAAGTGATTGTTTCAAAACCTAGGCAGAGTAGGAATCAGAGCTTTACTCTACCTAGGTTTGTTCCGAACTCTCCTTCGGTTCGCTCGGCACTGGTTTTGAAACAATCACTTTTGCATACCCTCAGCTTATTCGGGATTAAAATATGCATGTTATTACACTGCCATGCAGAAGTGAAAGTTTTAAAACCTAGGTAGAGAAGGTCTGATGGGGTAAGTCACGTTTCTGATCTGTCTGGTTTTTTTTTCGATAATTATAATAAAAGCATTATTATTATTCATCTGATAGTTTACACATTTTTCAAAGAGATGGTTACTTTATTATACTGACTACCGAACGGAGCCATTATATCACGTACAAGCAGATACACTACTTCTCTGATTATTATTTAAATGTTTATTCATTCTCTAGAGTTACTTAATATGGCCTATTATACATTTTCGATACAATTAAGTTTTATTGTTACATTTTTTTTTGTTGAAAACGAATAAACATTATTATTATTATTATCTATACGTAACGGTTAAATTCCCTGGAAACAAGTGTATTGACATTTGTAATTCAACGTATATGATCAAACATTGAAAATTTGCAATCAATTAGAAATATTAATTCAAATGATAGGAAAACGAACAATAATTGATTATTCAAGAAATCTAAACAAAACCTTTAATTATTAGCTTACATAGGGACAATTAAAGTAAAACAATGTAAACAATTTAACCTTGAACAAAAATTCCTTATGTGTAATTAGCTCAATATTTTCTTCAAGTTACTAATTATGGCTTACATAAGTTAAATAATAGAGCAAATTTTGTATTGCGGAAATATGGTGAAGATTATGAAGTTGTTTGTCAACACCAGAGCCATACTTAATTGCCAAATCGCGTGAATTTATTGTGAATTAGGATTACACCTGTCGCCTCGTGGGCCCCAATTCACTAATTAATAAGTAATAAACATTTCACTCATGATACTTCGGCAAAGTAGTTTTTTACCTTTGAGATATTACAAACAGGTTTGTTGTATTTGAAAGCTAGTAAAATACCAAACATTTTTCCCACACACTACTTTGATTATTGAGAATAGGACAGCCATATAGTAAGAGAGTGTACGAAAATTGTGCATACTCACATGAAGAGCATTTTTTTTAGACGCACAGATAATGCTCTTCACGTAAGCTTGCAAATGTGTAATCCAAGAACCAAAACCCAGTCACAACATACCACAAGCGCATTTTAGTACCAAAAATGGTCACCAGAGCAAAGTTGGTATTATTTTACGCCTTACCTTTAAGCAAGAGAGGGATAAAATAAAATAAAATAAGCTTAAAACACCTGGCAATGTATGAATAGTACCATGACACCTTTGGCCCTTAACACTCACACGTGTAAATGTTAGCAGTCAAAATTGACAGGTGTAATTTAAGCTTTACACTTTTGTTAGTGGCGTCCATTCTGTGAATTACAACCCATACCGACTTACTATAATCTCACAAAACGAATATAAGTAAATAATACCTTGCCATTTCGCAGCTGTTTTAGTAAAAAATTATCACCGCGTTTGTCTCCATCAATATTGACGTTTACGTCTTTTCCGCTATCATACTCCACTTTCACCACTACAGCCTATAAATAATACGAATCAGACTCTACGAAAGCTGTACCTATTGACAAACACAACGAGTCGGGGTGGCCTTTCGCGCTTACCTTCAAGCGGTGGCGACCGCAACCAACACTCACCTTAACTCTCCGCGACAAGGACCTGTTCCTCCATGGTCTTTGGAAGAGGACGTACACTGGAAATGTTAAAATATCACACACGAACGCGATGGCTTGGAGTGTCTTTATCGCCAAGGTTATACCAAGGCCATCCATATCTCTGAAACAAAAAATGAAGGTGTTAAAGCGCATCGAGAGTTAATGCACGTTTGTCTTTCCAGAACGGAAAGACAACGTACAAATGACCAAAGCTCGGACCAAAGCCTTAGTAAAGTAATGCATGGCGGATTAGAGAGAAACCTACATAATGTAAATTGATACAAGATGCGTTTTCGCGTTCAAGCAAGCTTGTTCCCGAATCAGTGAATTGGTACTAACGGCAAAATGGTTTAAATAATATTGATGGTCGGACGTTAAGATAAGTAATTTGTTCCGAACGAAAATGGAGGACAATTTGAGCAGTCTTTATTGTATTGTTGTTTCAAAGTAAATTGTTTTTCACATTCATGTATCGTCCATGGCACACTACTTTTAGCTATAATGAAATAAATCTAAACACGCATTTTTCTTATCAAAATTGTTGTCTTAAAGTCACTAAATATAGAAAGTACCGCAATCCATTGGGCTTGTGTGTTAGAGAGAGAACGCATGATTTTTGCCCAAAAATGGCGGAAGTTACCAGATTCTAGTAACTTTAATGTTAGGGATTGTTCCACCTGTTTGGAGATATCTGTATATATTTTTATAAAACATGACAGTACTATGAAGTTAGGTTATGAAAAATGACAGCTATTCAGATTTTATTTGTCAATTTTTTTAAGTTGGCAGCAAATTTGCCCAAAAATGGCGGATGATTGCGGTACTTTCTATATCTAGTGACTTTATGTTGTCTAAGGGTATACAAATATTATATTCGCTGAATTCGGAATAAAATTCTCTATCCAATAAGGAAATAAAAAATATAGTTCCATTTAAAATAACAAAGTATCCGTTGAAAAAAATGATTTTCGTGATCATTAAAATCGTAAAATAAAATTGTTTGATAATTTAACCAACCTCGTCGTTATCAAGGTGGGGTAATAGGGAACAACATAAAATGAGCACCCTGTATACAGTGTTTTAGACTTCGAATGTCATCAGATTGACTAGATACATACAATTGTGATAAAATGATAAGGATGTGAGATTCTAGATTACGTTTAATTCTGTACTTTCTAGGGTGTACTCAATCTAGCGCATTATTTTTAAGGATAACGTGGCAGCTGGTTCAACTTATAAAGGAATCTTACGATCGTTACGTGCTTAGATATGTTCCATAGGTTATACTTATAACACCTATTGCAAAAAAAACCGTACACAACAATAAACACGTTATCATTTGGAATTTAGACTTGATCGTACGACTCTCACATTTACAACCGAGCATTTTCTCAAAAAACCTTGGACAGAGATGAATAAAACTCACCTCAAATATATCGTCATCGTTTAGACAATCAGAAGAAACCCACACAAAAATCCAACCGCACAGCACAGCCACTCTATGACAATAGTGCAATCTCCACGAAATGTCGCTTTTTAGTATTACTAAAGGGATAGAATTTGTACAGACAGAGGTCAGTGATAACTCCGATAAGAACGATCAATTCAGTTTTATGATCATTGTACCCAGGTACAACTTCTGATAAAAGCTCAATAATATTTTAAGTCTCGCTCGTAAAGTTCCAATGGTCAATTTTTCTCCCTCCAGTCGTGGAGCGTTTCCGAAAACTATAGCCGTCTAATTTGGTGAAAGACCGGAGAAGATATCGGGCGGATTTTGAGCTTTTGCTCCCGATCACACCATAACAATCATTTTTATTACACAATATACAACGGAAATTAATTGAAAAATGGAGTCGTAATCTAAATGAGTTCGTTGAAAGTTCAACTTAATGGAACCTGTTTTATTTAGTTTAACTCGGACCATCAAAAATTAAGTGCCTTCAGATAACGACGACGTCTCTAAAGTACCTAACGACGCAAGACTGCGTAATTGGAAGGACTTTGGTCTTAATTTACCTGCGAGGTGACTTACCGCTCAAAACACGAAAACGCGCGCTCTGGGCTCTGCGGTTCTCGTGACAATTGGGCCATCTCGACACCTTCTATCAATTTGGCCTAATTTAGTTAATCTGCTGCGATTTCCTTCATAACTGGGACGCGTTTAAACAATACTATCACCGTTAGCTTTCTCGTAAGTTAAGAGAGAAATATTAATGGTAGGTATACTTGGTAAATATGACCAAGTCCCACAGGGCAGAATCACGGGCACACCTTTTTCCACATGTTCGCAATAGCATCTGTGATCGACATCTGTCATTTAATGTCATGTCCTTTAAAGCAAAGCAATTCCGTTCCGAAATGAGGCCAGAAAGTGGAGACTGATTCGGATCATGCTTGGAGTACCATTGGAACTACTCGAACCTTGGGTAAACTATCTCTAATAAAATTAAGGGAAATCCAACATCGACAAGGTCTAAAGGGGATGATGCTCAAAGCGAAAAGAATGCAGAAGTATATTTTCACGCATGCGTATAATACAACCGTGCAAGCAGGCTGAAATAAGGCATATATCAAATACTCACAGTTTCTCCTCAATAAACATCTTGGGGAGTTTCTGAAATTTAATAAAAATAGCATGAATCAACGCAGTCAAAAAGACCTTAACCTAGTAATTGTACTATTACAAATTAGAAGTGTACATCTCCATAAGCCAAGGCGACTTTGATTCTATAAAATTTTACGGATGGACTTTTGGTCGCATAACAAATTATTTATATCGACACAAACAAAATTGTTGCGTTGTGCGCCAAATACACCTAAACTTTTTCAGCGCAAGTTAATTGATGGTTATACAGTTCGCATTATATTTTTTCGTATGTCGAATCTTTGAACTGCGGACTCTTTTAACAAAAATAATCGTGGCCTTGGACTATTTTGATGTTTATTACATTCGCAATGAACGATCCGAATCCAATTTCGTTCTTTCCATTCAGCTCCGGTAAAAAATTACCGTTATCGACGTACCATTAGAGTTGACTTGTACATAATTTGGCAAAATCAAAGGACGATTGTTTTAAAATGTCTTGGTTTGAGATCTCCTATTGATCACAGCTAAAATTTACGCAAATCGGAGGAAATGGCCCGTACGCAGATTTTAAATATATGCAGTGACAAAACCTTTTAGCTAAATCCGAAATAAATGAAATGAAGCTTAAAATCAAAATTTGAAAAGTAATTTTAACAGTAGTAGCAAATGCCATTTTTTAGGGCATTTTCAGACGAAGTTGGGGGGGGGGGGGCTATTGCAGCCACTTTCTCTGTCCGTCCATCCGAAGCCTTGACTACCCTTACAGTTTTCAATTTAGTTCGTTCTTTTTTAATTCGGTACCTGAGTCAAGAAAAATCTTTATGATTATTTATGGAGATATTTCTTGAATTTTTAACCATAGATGCTTCTATAGTAAAAAAAACATATCACATGTACGTAGTAAAAATCGAAAACTACAAATGTCATTAGCAAATGCAAACACATTACACATAGTAAAAATCAAATGCCCGCATGCACAGACTGCAAAATGCCAATTGAAAAATGGCAATGAGAAAGCGGCTATAAATGCTCAAATAACATCAGAAAAAAATTAACGAAATCGGCAAATTTTGGTTTTTCCAGCGTAACTTCGGAAGTAATCGGAATTTTCCGGTTTTTAGCCTCCAAGTCTGAGACTGGAAGTTACAGATACAGCTTTTCCAAATGCCTTTGTCTGGCAGAATCATTAATGCTTCAGGGTACGCATTATATCATAGAAAATTTACAGGGTGTCGAAATTTTGAAGGGCCAATTTCCAACAAATTATGTTGCTAGTAGAATTTGAAGAATAAATCTGTAAGTACATAGTTGAATGATACTGTACCTTTTGCGTCTTCATCATGGGTTCCGGAATCCGGATGTCTGGATCTATCTACTCCAAACCACTGAATAAGCATGAGATCATTTCAGTAACGTAGAAAAAGCAACGTGGTATTTCTTGATCATACGTGAGATTTGATAAATATTGCATTTTATACATTAAAATTTTTATTAAGGCATCTAGGTTTCCATGGCCAACAAAAGATGGCAGGATTGTCAGGGGCGGACTGGGTACTTAAGGGCCAGGTGCATAGGTTACGGGCCATTAAAGTATTAGTGTGGTAATGAAGGTGGCGGGGGGGGGGTTAGCTCTGAGGTGCACCAAAAAAACAGTACTCCTTTCTCGAAAATCAATTACCATACAGTTTTTTTTAAAATTGCAGCTGATAATTAAAAGTAACAAAATATACAATCCACACGAGGTGCGTCGCCTATCATTGTATTTCAGCACTTTCATGCTACGACAAAAAATGATAAATTCATTTAAAACACTTCAATTAAAACAGAATTTTTTAACAACCTAACATCAACCCCAATTAGAGAAACTATATGGGGAAGGTTTAGAGATTTTTGATAACATAATATAGAGAAATGTGTTAATAATTTATTAATAGTGCAAGAAACTAAATACAGCACATACTTATAAATTTCCAACGAGCCATTATGATCTACAGGCCAGGTGGTAACCGCCCCCCCCCCCCCCCGGTCAGTCCGCCCCTGAGGATTGTGTAAAAAGACAATTTCTTGATTTTTTGGAAATGTTCATTAGTTTCCAAATATTTTTCATTTCAAATAACAGACCAAAAACAAAGAACGTAAAAACATGCGAATAAAACAAAAAAAGTCATCTAATATATAAATAAATAATACACCCAAGAAATTGAGGTTTACAACAATCCTGCCATCTTTTGTTCGCCATGGAAACCTAGATGCATACAATAAACACAATTTAATGTATAAAATGCGATCCCCATGGAATAAATTTATTATTTATTAGTTATTATAAATGTTTAATCTTTAGAAATTTAAAAAAAAATATTGCAAATAAGTAATACCATGCGATCAAAAATGAGTTGCTGTCGAGTCGCCTTTGGAAGTTCAAGTTAAGTACGATCTCGAGTACGATTTCCCATGAAAACAAAAATTCCAAAGGTGACTCGACAGCAACTCATTTTTGATCACATGGTATTAATATTAATATAAGTGATACATCAAAATGTAGGAAATTTTACGCTCTTTTCAAAATCTCTAAAATATACAGGGTGGTCTATATAAAAAATATAGTTTAGTGCCGTATAAGCAAAACCAAACAACCTGAAAAAACTGTGTATCGCAATGGATTCTACATAAAAAAGTGCTCTAAGAAAGATTTTGCCAAAATCAATTATTTTTAATAATAAGAAAGTTATGGGGCATTAAGGAAATCGAATAAATTCGAGAAACGCCGCCCTAGCGACGCAACGATTAGAGATAGCTGAATTCTCTTCGCCCCCAGTGATATTCTCTTTAAAATTGGGCTCCAGACATCTAGGTCATTTTTCCTATCTCTTAAAATAAAGAGTGTTTATAAGAAAGTGTCCACCCTGTACTTATTTAAGCCCTTTTAACAGGCCATAGAAATTCCGTTCAGCAAAATTGTCCATGTAAATGGATCAGAGGTTATTAATTTAAAATAGGAGTAGATGAGAGAAAAACGTGGTCCCAAACTAAAAAAGTTAGGGGTAAACAACCAGAAAAGAATAATGAGAAATTCCTTCATTCTGGGTGTGTCGAAGGTCATTTAAAAATCGCTTGCTAAAAAATTCAAGGCCAGTTAATAACTTCGATAATTTCATTTCAAAGACGAGAGGTTCAAGCCTCTTTTTACGCAAATTTATCCTGTATGTTATTGTTGCAGAGAAAAGGAAACCCCAAATGTTGGGATCCTTGGTTTATTTGGTAAAATGTTCCACAAAAACATCCGCATAGCCAAAACAATGAATACTTGTCCACCTGATAAAAGCTTAAATTTAAATTGTGGTCTGCGATAATATTGCTTTTGTACATTTCGTTATTTAAAGACTGCCATACAAAACGTTACGCCTCCCACCCTTTTAGATTTGAGAAAAATCCGTAAGGAATTATTGCCTAAATTTCGTGCCAATTAATTGTTAGATAAATTCACGATGATCCGATGAAAGGTCGATCCTTATTGATAGAATTGCATAGGTAATATCATGTTTTGCAAGGTTTATAACATTAATCGACAGAGGGCACCTCCTGTTATAATTATTTAAAGTCACTAAATATAGAAAGTACCGCAATCATCTGCCATTTTTGGGCAAATTTGCTGCCAACTTAAAAAAATTGACAAATAAAATTTGAATAGCTGTCATTTTTTATAACCTCACTTCATAGTACTGTCATGTTTTATAAAAATATATACAGATATCTCCAAACAGGTGGAACAATCCCTAACATTAAAGTTACTAGAATCTGGTAACTTCCGCCATTTTTGGGCAAAAATCATGCGTTCCCTCTCTAACACATGAGCCCAATGGATTGCGGTACTTTCTATATTTAGTGACTTTATAATTATTATCTCCACATTCGAATTGTCATTTTTTATTTGTGCCAATATTGATTATTCTATACACAATTTTGAAGGAAAAATCTTTTACAAAAAATCAGAGTTTTTTTTATCAACACTGCGCCCTGATTGGCTACAAATATTACATTCCGTATTGGATTGGATTGGCATTAATTTTCACAATAATACTGGGTAATACCGAGTAAACATATTCGTCAGCAGACCAAAGGCGAGGTCAATGTAAAGTCATTTCTTCTTCAAGAATCGGTCGAAAAAATCTTTCGAGAAGATTTGGGGATGCAATATTCAGTGATCCGCCAAAACCTACACTGTATGGATTATGGTTAGTTCGAGGGTTAGTTGTTTATCTGTAAACAGGAAAAAAATGTTCCAGCATAAACACAAGCTTATCTTGTTTGGTAAAACGAAGGTGGAATGACCTATTTCCGTGTGGAAATACTATTGGAAAAAAAAAATACATATTTGCTATTGTTGGTTATCAGTT